AATGTGTGCGGTTGAAGAAGTCTAATCTGCCCTTTAGTGTGATGGATTGCATTTGAGTCGATGCAATCAACTGGTTTTCCTTAGATAGAAAACTTTGAATCAATTTGACTGGATGATCTGGTGAATTGTAAAGTGCCATGAGATGACATGTGTTGTGAATTGGCGCTATATAAATAAACTGAATTGAAAATGGTTAAATGTGCTACCATACCTTGTCAGCGATCACATCCAGGTGCACTGAGCCTGCTCTCTCATCATCCTCTTCTTCATGGCTGTGGTGGATCCGGACGGCCCAAGACTGACCTGGCCCACAGGATGGCCAAGATGAGGATAAAGAAGAGGTAGTTAAAGGGTGGGATGGGCTGACAGCTGGCAGAAGGGTGAGCAGCAAAAGCCCTAATGAGGACACAAAAATGAGGAGGAGGAATGTGGGGAAATAGGGCGCTGCCATGGCAAGGAAGAATGACAAAGCTGGTCCACCAGGCAAGCCCTCTTCATCTGAGCAGCAATCTGGACACAGAACATGAAAGATTTTTTATTAGTAAAGACAATCTGAGAACGACGGTCTGGTTGCCTGACATCGGTGTGTTACATTCAGAGGGAACTTCCTAAAAATCACACCATCGCTTCAACTAGATTCCAACTTAGAAACATGTGGTTACCACACCGATGGCTATAAACCAAACATTTAGCAAGCACTACAGAGGAAAAAAAAAAAACTTAACATATGAAAAAATGCAACTGCAGCATTAATTAGAGCAGAAAAAGGGCAAAATGGATTCGGTTCATAACTGCATTTATATAAAAATTCAGACGGTGAAGGCAAATCTCTTGAGCAGCGATGTTTACGCCTTTGAAACCTTTCATTTTGATCATCTGCCTTACATCAACAATGGCGTTAAGTGTCATATTTGCTACTGTTTACTTCATATTTAGCCTATACTCCAGTTCGTTGTATCTATTTACTCTTCGCTAACGCAACGTTTATAATCACTTTATCCATTATACCACATTTACGGATAATAACACATAAAAACACACCATAGCTCTAATAGGGGAAAACAACTCCCCCGCATTGTAGTATTTATTTTAGCTGTGTAAGCAAGTTAGCTTTTTTATGCTAACGAGATTGAAGTTGATTTACAAAAAGCCTAAATATGGCTGACAACAATAGTTTATAGCACAAAGAAAACTATATCTTACTTTTTTCTACGAAGGAGCTTTAGTTTAGGTCGAGAAATTATAATACTAGCGTTATCGCTGAGCTTGGTACTTCATTTCCGTAACCAGAGCCCCTCTGGTCTATACGTAGTACGTCATACCGACTGCGTAATCATATTGCGTGATATTTGATTGGCCCAGAGCCACCACCGCTTGAGAGATAGTGGGTACATTCCTTTCCCGTCAGCCGGGAGATGACCCGGTCAGAAGATATGAAGGTGGGATTTTTTATTTTATTTTTTTTTTCCAGGCGCAATGGAATCAAATTTACGGAAGATGATTAGGACCAGTGATAAAATAAAAAAAAGTTAATAGATTTTAAATATTATTTTAGTTTAATATGGGGAAAAAGTCAGAATTCTGACTTTAATCTCAGAACCAAAAAGTACAGTCTACCCAGATGTTCAATTCAGCGGTATTCAAAAATATGTATTTCACAACTGGCAGGAGACGTTTTTATTGATTAATAACATAATAAATCGCTCAGACATGTTAAATTCGTACGGAAGAGGATTAGGGCCACTGGGGAAAAAAGGTTAACTGATTTTTACATTTTATTTCAGTATAATATGAGAAAAAAGTCAAGAATTCTGACTTTAATCTCAGAATCCTGGCATTAAAGTCAGAATTCTGAGAAAAAAGTAAGAATTCTGAGATTAAAGTCAGATAAAAGATTTAACTTTTATTAAATCTTGAAGATAATGCTACAACTTCTGTCTATATGATTGGAGATTGTAATGCTGACTTGGCAGACAATTCTGTTTTTGAAAATCACTAAGTGCAGGTTTGTAAAGAAAGTCATTCTCTCAAGCAAAGTTCTCCTCCTAAATAGTAGCTTTACCTTTATTAGTGAAGCTTGGCATTCCACCTCCTGGATTGATCACTGTATTTGTACACAGATTCTTCTGCTTCTCTGGGTCTTGTTGAGATTTTGTACAGACATGCTATGTCTCATAATATACCATTGTGTATGTCTTTAAATGTTGATAATATACCAGTGGTTATTGAAAAAAATGTTTGTCAAGCATACAACCGGGCCCAACCAGTCTACATTGGCAGAAAATTATATTAATAAATGCTTAAATATGACAGTTGTGTTACTTCAGAGGATCAACATACAGGCAGGCAGGGACATGGACTAAACCGAACCACAAAAAGGAAATAATAGTGAACTCTGTATGAGAATAGCATGCAAGTCCTTCAGGACAGTAGTATGTGTTTTTTCAGAAACAGAAATCTAAAAATCATAATGCTAAACCTGGTTGGAATAAATTTGTTGCTAAGCAACACATTGAAGCTTTTTGCCTTGATTTGAGCAGGTTTGTAAGATTTTTTTCATTTTTTTTTCAAGAGCATTGTATCTTAACAACTTATTACAAGGTCAAAAACACTAATTCATTTGGCAGATTATCTTTTTTACCCTTTTGAATTTAGAGTGAATACACATATTCTAAGAAATCTTTACTTATTTAAATCAGATTTTGCAGCATGATACAAAATTAATTTCATTTGATGACATGTGCTGACAAAAGAGATTTTAACTGATTCATCCTTTAGACTAATTAGATATTTCACCTTTACAAATTACTTTAACAAGTGAAGAAATCACAGTTTTAAGCTTCAGCTATATTAAAATAGAATCACAGCGATTATTTGTTAAATCAGAGTCTAAATGATGCGCTTTTTCCCTGTTTTTTTGTCATTTTCTTCTTTTGTTGTGTGGCCCCATCCTGGTCCACCTGATATCTTTTGTCCATAACCAATACTGTCGTCAAGCATAGTTGGAAATACTGTATCTCGGTATCTATGTGACAAAATTCTGTCTCTTAGGCAACAGTTAAACTTACAAAGGGATCTTTATAAATATAGAAGGCTGTTGTCTTTAAAAGCTGAAGGACTTTCAGTGCTTGTTTACTATGCACTCTCACTTTATATAAAAGATAAAATATGTAAAGAAATGGACAGTTCTGAAGAATAAACGCACCATCTAAAAGTAAAAATACTTTATCTGAAAGAAGCCAAGGGAAATCAATTATATGTATCAAAAAGGGTTTAGAGTTTCTAGAATCTTTACTGAATTTTATACCAGACAATATATAGTATTTAATATGCAATGTAGGTTATAGTTTTTAAAAGGTTGTATCTTCATTGTCTCCAAGTTTGTTTTAAAACTCTCAGAATCCTACGAACATGCCTTACTTTCTTGGATATAGGGTCACAAACTCAACCTTTCCCCACATAAGAAATAATTTGGAACAATGTTAATATTACTTTTAAAGGCAAAAGCTTATATAAAAAAGAATTTGTTGCAGAGGTTTCTGATGAGAAAGGTCGTATGTACACTCGGAAAAAGGCATGGAGGTTTGACTATCTTGACTTTATTTGAAATAAAAAAAAAGGAGGTCGATATAAAAAGCTTTCACAAATTCAATTCAATTTCAATTCAGTTTATTTCTATGGCGCCAATTCACAACACACGTCATCTTAAGGCACTTTACAGTTCACCAGATCAAACAGTCAAATCGACTCCATGTTTTCCATCTAAACCAGTTGATTGCATTGACTCATTGACTCAAAGGCAATCCCTCACACTAAGCATGCTTGTAGCGACAGTGAAGAGGAAAAACTTCCTTTTAACAGGAAGAAACCTCCAGCAGAACCAGGCTCAGTGTGAGCGGCCATCTGCTGAGGCCTACTGGGGTTCAAGGAAAAGAAGCAGAGATACAAAAGGCAAATGTAAAAGGCGGCCCCGCCTAGGAAACACACAGCCAGGCAGTCAAGCTCCGGGCCAGCTCCCATGCCAGAGGATGAAGAGAGCACATTCAGCCAGTCACAGTCAGAGAAACAGGACTACACTGAAAAACAGGCTGATCTCCAACATCTATAAACAAAAGTGTTAATGGCAGCAGCACAGCTGATAAGACTTGGATTGAAATTTAGTCTTAAAGATAGCAATCAAATTTGGTGCTTTATAATCATCTTATCAGGCAAATTTCACATTTATAGGATATTGTTTCCTGGGTCCCTCCCAAATGTTAATATGTTCTCAGTGGACATCTACTCCACTGTTAATACCTTAAAGTTAAACACAGATAAGAAAGCAGAATTCACCCTGCTGCATCTCAAAAGGCGTCTTTTAATCCACCCTATATAACGTGACCCATAATGCGCCTTAGTTATTGTGTTTTTTGTCTTTGACTTCCCTTTGCATTGTAGATACTGTATGTGTTGATGTCTTTTTGATTTCTGTCTGTTTGTAACTGAAGTGAAAAATAATTTTCTTTATCAATTTACAAAGAGCCAGTGATCTTATCTGAAAAATAGGGACTGAAGGAGGAGAGAAGGATAAAAAAGGTTAGTAAAAGTCCAAAGACAAATTTCAACTCTTAGCGTTGGCTTGCATTTCATCAAGTCTCGACCAGAGTACGTGTCTAACAGGAAATCAAGAAGCTCTTCATGCTTCCCTCTACTGACAGGTTTTTACAGAGATACTGGTTGCTTTGTACAGCAGGACTAGAATGCCTCCAAGCTACACCGCATTAATGCAGTAATACAACAGGAAGCCCCATCAAACACCAAGCGGACATAGTACTTGGATCTACTTTTCATTGGGCCTTCATTTTCTATATTAACATTTTTTATTGGTTTTATTTAATATTCTAAAAACATGGTGCAAAAAACGCATTGATATGGAGGATCTAAGGATTTATATATATTGTGCAAATATACAATATTTGAAATTTTTTTTCAACAGTTCAGCTGTCTGATGGCAGTGGGGAAGAAACTGTTGTGGAATCTGCTGCACCTTTTTTACTACCGCTTTTTTACTTTATTTATAAGGATTTATGTCATGATCTGGCCTGTTTGCTCCTCCTTAATTAGTAATTCCTTTCACCTGTCGTTTTCCCTCCCTGCCTCTAGTATATTTTATTCCTGTCACCTGTTTCCTCTTGGTTATATTGAGTTCAGCCTGAGCATTCAGGGCCAGATCATTATTTGTCTTTCTGTTAGCCTGTCTGTTATTTTGATTCCTTGGTTCATGTTTTGGATCCTAGCTGCCAGTGGAAAGAGGGTTTTGTGTTTGTCTCGTCTCCAGATAGTCCACTGTTCCTCCCCCACAGAGTCCTCTGGGTTTTTGGCTCTATATGTGGGGAGGTTCAGCTTTTATTTCAGTAAGCCTGGCTCCGGGGAGCAGACCAGTTTAAAGTCCTGCATCAAGTTCTGGTTCCACGTCCTGTCACGGCTACCCTCTTCCACTGAGCCTGCTCATCTGCATCTGATCCTGTCTGCTCCTGTGCGTGACCACCTGGTCATGCTTTCGGACCCCTGTCAGACTCAGAACCTGCCTGGGAGCTTGTGGATGCCTGGAAGTCTGGATCCTGTTCCTGTCTGTTCTGGATCCCTGACCAGGATCGGCTTCCAGCACGTCCTCTGGGACTGCAGCACTTGGGGACATTCTTGGACTGGACTGTTAAACCAGAGTGTCTGTGATTGGGCGGTGCCCCGTTCCCCATCCTGCTGTGTCCACGAGCCACAGCTCCGCTTTAGTTTTTGTTTTATTTAATAAACCTTTTTGAACTTTCCTACTGACTGTCTCCTTGAATACTGGGTCCATCTGTCCTCGGTTTCATGACAATATAAAGGAAACATTCTACAGTTAGAAGGACTTTATTGGTTCAACAAAGCTGCCAGCACCTGACAGATAAATATCCAGATCTGACTTTATCTATGTACAGTTTTTTTAGAGACAACACAAACTGTCCCTGACAGACAAAAGTCATGTTTCCCAGTAAATAGCATATTCTGGGCTGGTTTTTACTTTTAAAGCAGTTATGGTCCCAGTTGAAAACATATTAGGCTGTTAGTGTATCTGTGACAGCAGCCCTCTTTTGTTAGCTTGTTACATGTGCAAATCATCATCAGACATGTGCAGCAGTAGTTCTGCGAGGGTAAACACTCTCTGTGATCTTTGTCTGTGCAAATAGACGATCTGGAGCGCACAAAGGTTATGTACAGCAGATATATTTAGGCTTTAATCAGTAGAGGAAGAAAAGAGATGACATCTTACACTGATCTGTCTCTTGGTCATATTCTGCAAAAACCAGATTACATATGATAAATGCTTTACCTTATATTCTGTTAAATAGCCTCTTTATGTGTACAATAATAGCTTTTTTCCAAGAATTATTCACTGACATTTGCATTTATCTGTTATTTCTTTTGACCTTCTCATATACTCTTCGTGTGCAGGACGGCTGTGCAAACACATGGCAGGCTCCAACGGTAAACGTCATCAACTCAAACGCCACAAATAAGAGAGCTACAGAAGCACACACGTGACCGAATTTCCAAGTCATGCCGACCGAAATACAGCTGGACTTCCAGT